TGGAAAGTTTATGAACTCATTGCTGTCGCTGCTTATTTTTATTTCTTACTTACAAACGCTGACCCCGTGCCGTTAAACGAAGAGGTGCTGCACAGGTGTATGTGGACGGGTAGGTTCTGGGGGTAACATATTGTTAAAGTTGCACAGTCTGTTGCACATTTCCCCTGATGCTATCTCACATCAAGGCCTTGAGCCTATCACAGTTTGCCCCCAGCACAAAAGACCTACACTGCCGTGCTGAGACACACACACACTGGTGTACATTTCAGGCAATTAGGTTACACAGCCACTTTAAGTTTAACACAGTAGCGGAGCTCCCTGGTGCACGATCCTCGCACACTACGCAGGGTAAGCTCCAACACGCACCCACACGTTCAGGTATTCAGTAGTGAGCAACATGGCGGCCCAACAGCAAGCAGCAGCCACAGGAGCAACAGCTGGAAGGAACCCACAAGTACAGGATATCACCACTACGACTCGCAGGAGAACGCAACACCTTCGAGGAATGGAAGCACAAGATGACAGCGTACCTTGGACTACAAGACCCCGTGTACAACAGACTGCTGAGACAGTCAGAGCAATCCACAGGAGAAGTTACTAACGACCAACTTGAGAACGCAGCACCTTCGCAACAAGTGGCAGAACAATGGATACAACTGAGTAACAACCTGCGCTACCTTTTGGTGAGCGCATGCGATGGGCGTGTGTCTACAATCTGCAGACAAAAGCACGCAAGGCAACGGTTTCGAGACGTGGCGGCTGACGCATGCCAGGTACTCCATACCTCTTGGTGCAAGAAGCATTGGGCGCCATACACGGCTGCTAAAACCACAACTGGGTGAACAGAAGTTCGAAGAGAGCTTCGCAACATGGGAATTTCAGCTCTCCAAGTACGAGCAGGCAGTCAAGACTGCAGTGCTGCTCAATGAGACAAAAGGACCACTACAGCAACCCCTACAGCTGCAATCAGGAAACATCACAACATGTGCGCAGACCAGATCAATGGTGACGAGCGCCACAGAGCGAGAGCTTCATTCATTCAGCCGGCTACAAGCAATCACATCAGAGAACAACAACCAAGGACCAGCACCGATGGACATAGGAGCAACATGGTATAGCAAAGGCAAAGGAAAGAAGGGCAAGCGCAAGGGCAAAGAAAGCGCAACAAAGGCAAAGGCTATGGCGGCTACGGGAACAACTACAGCTACAGCAACTACACAGGAGGAAAAGGCAAATATAGTCAACAATCGGTTGGACAAGGAAATCCTTTCAAAGGACAACAAGGATATGGCAAAGGAAAAAGGATACAGCAACAAAGGAAAAGGGAAAGGGTATTACAACGACCAACAAGGAGGAAAGGAAGCAAAATGTAAGCGTGCAACAAATGTTTGCTACAGATGCGGGCAGCCAGGACACATGGCCAAACAATGCAGAGTGGCGATCTACAACTGCGACACTGCCAATTTCGACACCCGTGGCCAGACAGATGGCTGGCACAGTCAGGCACGCTACGGCAACAACTGGGAACACCAGGATCAGACACAGATGCCACAGCCAGCAGTACCACAACCGCCACAGCTAGCAGATCTGTCAGCAGCACGCGTGTCAGGATCACACGAAGTAACAATTGCCATGATTGGCACAGCTTAGCAACACACAGAAGACAACACGTGGGTCAGTCTCATGATTGGCAGTGGTGCGGGTACACATGTATGCCCACCATGGTTTGCATCACAATTTCCACTACACCAACTTGAGCACAGCTGAGAACAGTGACCAACCAGCACATCAAGCTTTACGGGTACGGATGGGTTTGCGAGGTTACACAGCCAATCCTTTCGGTTACAAGGCTGGTGGAACACTTAAGGTTTCCAACTGAATCTTGGATGACAACCCAAGATTACAGCGCATCAAAGGATTCAACAGCACACTGGAGAACAGAGATGGCCCGTTCTTCCTACAAGAAGAAATCGCTCACTGCCAAAAGGAACAGTTCTATATTAGGGCTTTCCTCTATCAATAAATTGCATGCCTTCCTTACGCGGGCAAGGAGGGGCTGCACAGGCTTTCCGACTCGGCAACATTTACTCTAATTTTGCGGAACGTTCACCCCCAATTTTGTGGGTTATTTACCCCCAATTTTGTCCAATTTTGTTGGTTATTTACCCCCCAATTTTGTTGGTTATTTGCCCCCAATTTTGTCGGTAATTTACCCCCAATTGTGTGGGTTATTTACCCCCAATTTTGTTTACCCCCCAATTTTGTTGGTAATTTACCCCCAATTGTGTGGCAATTTATCCCAAGTTTGGGACTCGTTATTAACCCCCAATTTTGGAAATTTGGGGGTTAATAACGAGTCCAAAAATTGGGGGTAAATCCCAGGTTTCCCAACGGTATACGAAGATTTACCCCCCAATTATTGGACTCGTTATTAACCCCCAAATTTCCAAAATTGGGGGTTAATAACCACAAAATTGGGGGCAAATTGCCCACACGACTGGGGGTAAATAACCCACACAATTGGGGGTAAATTACCGACAAAATTGGGGGTAAATAACCAACAAAATTGGGGGTAAATAACCAACAAAATTGGACAAAATTGTGGGCAAATATCCCACAAAATTGGGGGTAAATTACCGACAAAATTAGTGGTAAATAACCAACAAAATTGGAGGTAAATAACCAACAAAATTGAACAAAATTGGGGGTAAATAACCCACACAATTGGGGTGAAATTTGAGGTAAATTGGTGGTAAAGAGTTACTGCTACAGGCAAGGCTTAAGTTCTATAGATACAGGGCACACAGCAAGGACATTGGCGTGACAGCGCCGACCACAACGCTGACACCGCAAGGTCCTGCAGACACGGGTTACGCAGGAGACTTCTGGCAGTTCAACACACAAGGTGAACTTGTCAGAGTGCACAGACAACACAGGAAGACACTCTTCACACCATCCAGAACACAGTGTCCAGTCCCAGCAGAACAGCCATCAGATTCAAGGATGGTGGAACGAACGCGTTTGATGACAAGTATTAAAGCATTCAGGATTAAGAAAGGCACAGCATTGCCAGAAACACTACAGCAACAGATTGCAACAAAGACACAGCCAAGGAGCGCGCCGCAGAAAGTTAACATCTTTCTGCATCACAGTTTGTACATGTGTCAGACAATGACTTGGTACACGCTGCAGCCGTTTTACATTCAGTTGCTGCATTTGTTTTCTTTGCTTACGCAGCCGGGACATGGAGCTCCAGAACATCACCGGATACTATGTGACACCAGTGGCTGGCACAACCAGGGCATCTCGGAGCCGGGCTTCACAGTGCAAGCAGTGGATGGCACAGATACCTGGCTGCGCGCGGCACACATGGAGCAGGATTCCGCAATGACCAAGGAGGAGTTCACGGATGGCTCAGGAAGCCACAAATTGGGTACATCGTTTTGAACATGAACCCTTTTGACTGTGCACACTGTGTCATCTATGTCAAATGCTACAGTCTGCGCTGGACACCCGGAGGAGGTGTACATCTTGGCTTTTCGATTCAATTTGCTACGAGTGGTGGAACAGATCGGCAGAGGGTATATGAAAGGTTTTAACCGTGTTTACCATACCGTCCACCTACAGTTGCGCGCCAACATCACGTACATGTTGACACGCGCAGAGCTCAATGAGCGCAGGATGTACCGCGTCAGTGGGAGTTTGCACCGAGCTACCAACATCTGCTTGTTTGACGTTTAGCTACCGCACGCCAAGGAACATTGAGGGCACGCTCACAGAGATTGCCGTGCCAGGACACCCGGACCATGCGGCACATCTGCGCAGGATCCAACAGGCCATGCTGCCATTGTACCCGGCTGAGAAGGTTGTTTCGCAAGCGCATGCTCGAACACCCTCAAGGGCATTCTTTGGCGCAAGCCTAGGTACATGCCATTGTAGCACACCGAGTTTGGCCACAAATCATCTGCGCAGGGAGGAACACAGTTGCATAGGACGTTGGCCTGGTACATGGTCAGCTTCCTTGCTAAATTCTGAAAAGCGAAGATGGTTTGCGCAGCCTGAATTGCGTCTTGCACACTAGAATAGACGTGTACAATCCGAGGAGGAGTGTTAAAGTACATCATTGCTGTACAGTCTGTTGCACATTCCCCTCCATGCTACCTCACATCAAGGCCCTGAGCCTAGCACAGTTTGCCCCAGTACAAAAGAGCTACACTGCCGTGCTGACGCACACAAGGTGTACACTTCAGGCAGTTAGGTTACACAGCCATTAACACACACATATATAAATATGTGTAGACATCAGTGTGCGTACAAATGTGTGCGCAACTAATTATACATTGTGCCGCGCGTTTGGTCACTGCGCACGTTTGCAGCTTCAGATGTTAAGCAACAAGCCCGGACATACGCGGAACACAAGGAAAGTCAGCTTCACCGGTGGAGTGATTGCGGAGTTTCAAATGAACACTTTAGCAGGGAACTAATGCAGGTGTGGCTTGCGGTGGGGCGGGCTGTCGCAGTGAAACTTGCGTTTTTCCCTGTGGGTATGCAGGGGTCTGGATCCCTTCTGCATTCTGCAGCCGCTTCCTGGCGGGGATTGCGGCAATCATCATGCAAAGTAAGATTGGCCAACCCTCCATTTGAAACAACCGAGGTGGCTGAGACATGCTGCAAGCCATGGTCGAAGGTTCCAAAGGAAGTCACCTTGAGTCACTTTCCAGAAGACCCTACTAATCAGAGGAATCCGCCATGAATTGATCCACCAAGCGGGGGAACACTGGTCGCAGTTCGGCCGAAGATGAATGAATTCCACTGGTTCCTGTTTTGTTACACATGTTCAAGTGGAATCCATTTCGTGGGTGTATGTCGAGGGCACCCTTTTCACATTGTTCAAAGGGTTAATCAACAGGCAAATCAAGATTTGTTGTTGCGTCCCGCGGTTTTGGCACACACCCATCTATTTCTTCAAAAAACACGTGACCGGGATATTTCCATCTCAGGAGACTCCTTTGTGCCAGTCCACGCACGGCGGAGCAGCGTGAAAGGGTCCGGAGCCTTAACCAAGCGGGGGGGCGACACCCTCTGATTTGCACCACAAGCAAAACCGAGCCATTTCGGCTCCTTACCTTCGTGCGGTAGTGGCTGTTTCAGTTCTTTCTGACCCTAGACATGGGTCCTTGTTCTGGAGGAACTGAACGAAAAGGGGGCTACGATTTGAGTGATGCGGGACATCACGTGGCGTTTCGGAGTTTCTTTTCGTATGGTTGGATCTTTGTGATCCTTTTCGTGCTCATTCAATTATTTTCTTCCTATTGCACTGGCAGTCGATGGAGTTCAGATCGGTACTATAGAAAATGATCAGGAAGATGTGGGACAGTTTTGCCCCTAATTGCGGTCTCTGTATTTGGGGCGTTAGTGGTAGCACCGAGGATCGTGCCTCTTGTTGTGAAAGGTGGTACCACCATGGAGCCGTCGTGCAGATCCGGGCCTGCCTGGAACGTGCGCGAGCTGGTCAGCTGCGCAGGCCGGAGATGGGAAGGCACAATGATGCCTTTCCCCAGAGGTCTACCAATTCGACAATTGAACTTGTGCTGTGGATTGCCTACAATTTTGTTACGATTGCTGCTTCTGGTGGATTTGCACGTTGTCGGTATTTTTGCGGGAAGATTTGTGATACTGATTGGTGGGTATGCCGGATGTTTGGGCATGTTCATGGTGCTCTTGTACTGCTTTGCGGGTTCCATTGCGGTATTCGACTTGACATGTCTGTCACGTGTGCTCTCATTCTTTGGCTCTTTCAGACGGCGGTGGAGGAGCCGAGACATGATAGATTTCATTTTCACTTGATTGTGCATGGGCTGACCTTTGCTTTAGCATGATTGCATACAGGACTCCTCACTTTACATGAGTACGATTGGTTCTCTCATTGGGCTGAATCTGTCTAAAACAATTCCGGGTTGCACTGCCTTGGACTCTTGGGTTGCAAGGCCGGAAGATTGCATAAGTTGAGATGCAGATTTGCTTGGATGGTATTTCGGATTTGTGCCGTCTGTAATTTGACGGAGACGGAGCAGCCGGAGCAGATGACTCGTGGACGCGAAACACCGGCAATGGGTGCAGATTGGGATGGATCGCCGCAGGTGTGGCAGGCGGTTATTCGGGCCAGGCGTTGTGCGAATTCCGGGAGAGTGGCCTGCTGTTGGAGGGCCTTGGCGGGTGCTTCTTTTTGGGGACCAGAGGAGGTGGAGACGCTTGAAATCCTTTTGTTTGAGCGGGGATCTCTTGATCAAGCAACGTCGCAATGATGCTTGGGCGGATGAGAAGTCCGTACAAGCTGCTGCTGATGCTTCGAAGAGGGAGATAGTTGTGCTTAAGCAATCCCATGGCGCTTGCAGTATTTTCAATCGTACAATGGTGCACTTTCGGCCCTTGCAATCGGAAGGCAGGCCTCCTATTTGCATCCGGCATCATCTTGCGCGACGTCAGGATTTATTCAGCCAGCGACTCGATGGATTGGGCGGCGTATGAAATCGGTGGCCTTGATGGACGTGACTGGCATATGCATTTTGGCAGCAGCCCCGCGTCAGTTCAAGGGTTCATTCAGCCATGGATGGGAGAAGGTTTTGAGCAGGTTGGCGAAGAACAATCCAAGGTGCAGCGAGGCGTGGTCTCTGGAGTTAAACATGTGAACCTCCAGGAATCGTCGCTACGGGCTTGTGCTGGAGGAGCTCCTCGGACAGAGAAACGGCAATCGACATTTTCAGAGAAGCATGCCGTGCGGCTTACTTGGGCTTTGCGGCACGGAGTTAAACAGCTGAACCCCCCTGCCGATGAGCTCGGGCACACAACAATCGATGCAGTTACGCATCTGCGGCGTGGGCTCACTGCTGATCAGGTGGAGGGCATTGTTCGCGATGACAAGAAAGGAAGGTTTGAGATAAGGGTTGTCAATGGCGTTCGACTCACGAAGGGTCTTTTGCGTGCCACCTATGTGCACTTTCTTGACGTCATTCAGCAGTTTTTGGTTGTGTCCGCAGGGCAGCAGCATACGCATTTTATTGCAGCTGATTCAGGGGAGGATCATCGCATTCGGAAGGACGCCAATATGTTTGTTGAAGTTTTGAGCGATGACCTCATCGTGAATGATATTCACATTTGGCGATCTGTCAACAACAACTTTTTGGTCGCTAGGCCGATCCTGTTTGCTCTCTTGAAGAGGATCAATTTCCACCCTAATGAGGGGGCGCCAATTGTGTTGTTTGAGGATGGCGTCGAGGTGAACGAAATTCCTTGGAATCCTCATGCTGGAGAGTCTTATGTGGAGCTTGAGGCTAAGCCGAAGCCTAGGCCCACTTCGAAGGCTGTGGGGCAAGATGATCACTTGGAGGTTGGGCGCCCGGAGGCTAGTTCGAGCCGTGTCAGCAATCGCTTTCAGTCTCCGCTGCCTAGGCGGAGGAGAGTTGAGGCTGCTTGGGAGAGATCGAGGAGTCGCACGCCCGTGAGGCGTAGGCATCCTTGGCACTGGGAGTGGTTCACTGGTGATTCGACGAGAGGTGGGCAGGCTTGCAGATCTGAACAGGAAGGTCGTGGACGCGGATGCAATTTGCAATTTGGTCGGTGACGTTGGGCATTACACGCAGGAAGCGTTTGGACGTCGGGCGTGCAATTGCAGTTTTGCAGCGGAGGGTTCATTGGGTGGGAGAATGTGCAGTGTAGGAGTCAGAGTTCTCTCCTGAAGGAATGGAGAATAGAGGCTGAGGAGTGCCCGTTGATCCGGAAAAGGTACTTATTGGACGTGCCGGCTGAAATCCTTTGGAGTTCGGAACTTTCTTTTCTTTTCAGATGTGCCCTCTGCTTCCAGCTGTTGGGATTTATGTTTCATGACGGAATGGGTGGGGGGGAGGATTTTCAGGCTGCCGTTTGTCATTTTTACGCTGGTATGGATGATATGGAAGAAGACATTTTTCTTGACTACAGACATGTTGTTGATATGATTCAGGTTACGCCCGCGGAACCAATGGCTGAAAAACTGGCAAGGCCCGGACCGCTTAGACGAATCGATGACATTGTTCAGATACCCACTGATGAGATGGCGCGTGTTACGAGTATTCCCTTTATTAAGGCTCGATTCATTCAACAGCAGTTGTCGAATGTGGGTGACATGGAGTTTGAGGTGGAAGAATCCAGTCAAATTGAGGACCCTGATAGCTTCTATGAACCACCGGATGCTTCATTGAGTGAGATTGGTCATGACAATCCCATGGGTCAGATGTTGGAATCCCGTGAGAGATATTTCCACCTGCGGCAAGATAGAGTTATTGGGGCTTTGCAATCCCTTTACTGGCACATGAGACATGTGGACAAGGCAGATATCATACAGCGTATCCAGCTTGCTGATATGACCGACTGTTCTCTGTATGATTTGGATGACATTCAGAAAGCCTCTGAGGGCTCTGGAATTGCATTTGACTTGCTTTATAGAATTGCTGCAAGGTTGCGTGGGGACAACGAGGAATCTTCTGATCACTCAGAGTCGCCCCGTCCCCTTGCATGGACAATCGACACTTCTCCGGAAAGTCCCGATCTGCCTTTGCAGGTTCCCTCTGCGGGGGCTTCTGATGGTGCTGAACTTTTGCACAGCTACACTTTTGCACAGCTGAGTTTTGCTTCTGGTCGTCGGATGGGGCTGGGAGCAGTTCGGACCGAACCAGCTCCCGGGAAATTTCCGGAGTTGTTGCCAGGGCCTTGGTAAACTCTCATGAGGAAATTGCGCGGGGGGTTATTGAGGCTTTTTGGATCAATGGGGTGACTAATGTTGGCACTTGATTAATAAAGCCCCCCCCTTGAACAGTAGGCTCATGTTTGGGACGTCCAAGCAATGGAGGATTCGGGGTCCCAATTCTACTTTAGTATTGCAGCCACTTCCTTTTTGCAATCCTACTTACTTTAGTATTGCAGCCACTGCCTTTTTGCAATTCTACTTTAGGGAATGCTTTTAAGCTAGTGGGCGACCAAGTGAAAGGGGAGTGCTTTTAAGTAAGTGGGCCACCAATTAAAAGGGGAATGCTTTTGAGTACAGCAACTGACGGTTTGTTTTCTGGAGGGGGCTGGGGGCTTGCAACTAATGTGGCCCCCCGAGAGAATGCCATTGTTGTGGTTCAGTGGGGTTTGTGCGGGGAACCCTTGTCCTGATTGTTTTTCATTTTTTCGGCAAGATTTTATGAAGAATTTGCAGTTTCAGGGCTGGGGATGGTTTTCAAATTTCAGAGGTTTCAGCTGGCTTTGGGTTTTGTGTTTGGCAACCATTAAAAGGGGAATGCTTTTAAGCAAGTGGGCCAAGGGGAATGCTTTTAAGTAAGTGGACCACCAAGTGAAAGAGGAATGCTTTTGAGTAAAGCAACTGACAGTTTGCGTTTGGTATGGGGTCAACATGGATTTTTGGTGATTGTTTGGGGGGATTGCTTTTTAATTAAAATTGATTTGTGGGTATTTTTTGATTTTTCCCCCGGGCAAAACAACTTACAGTTATTGTGGTACCCATCGACAATGATGATAGCAAAGAATAGGGAAACAACTTTCAGTTATTGTACGACCCTGATCAATCGGGTGTAAACATTATTTATCATTGCCAAAGCCAGGGTGATGTTCCGCATCTTATGGCATGTGCAGGATGTCCCGACTGCATCATTGAAACCATTGTGCAATATGTTCGGGATCATCTGTCTGGGTTTGACGGGGGCATGGAGGATAACAGCACTGATGACACAAGTGACACTTCGGAAGGGAGCTGACTCGTTGTTGCCTTGACGCGCAAAACGCTTTGGAGCGGGCTCTTGTTGCACATCGTGAATTGCGTAGACGGAACGACAGGCTTTCTGAGCGGTTCCAGCAGCAATCTCAAACCATTGTTGTCCTCGTTGAGGAGAATAGAAGATTGGGAGATACTGTTACTGCACTCTCAGATAGGGTTTCTGCTCTGCGAGGTTGCCTTTCAGTCCTGATGATGTTATATCTCCGACCATTCCCTTCGAAGTCGACCTCTCTAG